GGGGCTTCTACCAAATTCACTGCGGATTCGAAAGATACGGGAAGAGCACTGGGCATTAAATTAGGTTGAGCAGACTGAATTAGCAGCTTCTTGAAGGACATTACCTTGGTAAGTGACTTTGAACTCGTCCGCGTCTTTAAATATTTTCACAGTGTGGATTTATATCAAATTCTGGGACCTCGGACATGTCTTCCCACTCAGTTCCTGCTGCTCTTCCTTTGCTTTCTGCTACAGGCTCTTCTTAAATTTTCCTGGCGCTCTGCTCATGAAAATGCTCGAGATTAATAAATGGCAGACACGATATGCTTAAGCTGAGCATGACAAACATGCATCTGAACGAACGTATTTAGTCTGCAAAACCATCATCAAAGGAAACCTGGAAAGCAACATGTTCAGCTTGCTCCTGTGGTGGATGCCAGTGGCTTTGGGCTATTCATTTGGTAAGAATGAAGACAAATTCTAAATTTAGAGCTTCTTAAGTGTAGAAATGGTAATAAAAATACTGTTTTCTGTGATTGAAAATAATATCTCCAGATATTTACTGGGGCAGGAGTAGCAGAGTGGGCACGTGGCTCTGCAAATCAAAAGCAATTCCATTGTTTTCAAAAATAGGACATCTTCCCACATTCAATTCACAAACAAATTTCTAACTATTGCTTACCAAACACAAAACACTTTTTGGCTTTTGTACATTACATATTTGAATTCACGTAACTTGAGCTAAAGCCTTGACAAGTCTTGGGCAGGTTCCTTTGCACCGAAGTATTCCTATTGAAGCTGTTGCCACACCAGCAAAACTTTTATTGATTCTGCTCAATGCTCTGGAAAGTTGCCAAATTTGCTATGTGACAAATTCCTACCTGGATTTATTCCAAATAAGAGAAACTGTTGTCAAAGCTTGTTATGGTTTTGGTTTCAGTGTTTTCTATTGAAGATTATGCCAGACAGCCCTGGTGGTCCAAAGGGGCTGGATTTGTCGCTGAACCTAACGTTTACTTCCACCGTCTTTCATTTCAGTGTCTAATTTAGACCCGTTCCTGGATCGCATACTATTGTTAGGATATTTTCCTTTTCCCTATCCAAACTTCAGAGGTATTCCAAAATTGTTCAACACAAGTTCTCAGGGATTAATTTTCCAGGGAAAAATACACTGCACAGAGAGGCATAAGGCAGAAGGGGCAGAACAAGGAAGCACTGATATAATTTTAGAATGAATAAGCATATCATATCCATGTAAGAGGTTTATCTCCTACATAAGATCTCATAAATGTATTTATGGAGCTTGTTATCTTTTCTATAACAAGATAGAGCCACATGCAACAGGGCATTTGGGACACGTGCCAATGCACAAGAAACATTTATTGCCGCTACGCGCCAGGCCAAAGGCTGTGCCCGCAGCAGCGCTCAAGAGCGGCGCGCACGAAACCCCCAACGCAAGGAAAGACACCAGGGCAACTTCGTGCTAAACCCCTTGGTTCCTGGGCAACTGCTTGTGCTTCCTCTCTGCCTTTAACACGACAGGGCAACCCTTGGGTCGGAGCAGGTACTTGGGCTATTGGTCTACTTGGGCCTGGACCAAGTGGAGCAACAGACCAAAGAGAGACGCTCATCGAAGCTCCTCCAGGGACCAGCAATACCAGTAAGCAGCCACCCTGCTAAAATACACGTGTCGGCCTCTCCTTGCTGAGCTCCTGGGCAACACTCTGCACCCGAGCACTGCTAGATAAACCCTCACCCTTCCCAGGAAGGAGTAATCATTAAAGGGCAGCTTCTTGGGCACGGACAAAGTCCGCCGCCAAGGAAGGCAGCGCTCCGCAGGCTGCGCTCCTCACATAAAGCCCTTGTCTACAACACAGCAGAACGCTCTGTTCACAAATCCGACAGTAACTGTATTAGCAGGACGGATAAAATACTTATCAAATATTTCAGTGTTCAACTATTTCAGTAATTTTGGATGTCAGGAATATTTGGTTTGTCTAAATCTAGGCATTCAGAGCTGCACTGACAAGCTAATACTCAGCTTCAAGTGAGATTTGATATTACCTTCCAAAATTACTCTTATAAGTAACAGATTTCAAAATCAAACGACTAACTAAAGCACCCAAATACACGTAGAAGTTAAAGTATTTACATGACTTAGGAACTTCAAACTTACTTTTGTGTGTTGTCGGTGCTAACGAATTCTGATTCTGCCGTTCATGACAAAACTATCCAACACATTCATTTCAGCTGATGCCAGTGATAATATTCTTGGAGCAATGGTCAGACAGAAAGGACTGCTGGAAACCAGTATTTATACCAACAGGAGCCCTCAAATTGAACGCAATTTTGAGGGAAATGAAAAACAAACAAACAAACAAGAAAAAACTTCAGGACTTTTCTTCTTTTATAGTTTTCCAGAAACACTACTTGGAGGAAGTATCTTAAATAAGGATTTTGTTGAAAGCCTTGTTACTTCCAGAACAGGGCAATAGGGATGGGAGACCCTTGGTGCTTGGTTCAAAACAACAGCTACCAAGGTTTGCATATAAAAAAAATGAAATTCTGCTTCAGAAACAAGAATTTTATCCCAGACTCATAACAGTGCCAAGAAATCACTTGGCACTGGCTTAGCAGTGCCCATATTCAAAACTTTGAATTAGCGCCCATTCACCAGCTTGAATGCAGATTTAAGCGCAACCTAAAACAACTTCTGCTTTTTTCCACATAACGTTTTGCTTGCTAAAGATGAAAATAATAATGTTATTTCTGTTATCTCATTAAGTGCAACACAAAGACAGTGCCCTATTGCTATTTGGTGCACTATAACGTAACTGGAAGGCTCTGCCTCTCTCCTCAAGTCCTCCTCTTTCTCTTCACGCTTCTGGTTCTGGAGAGCAGCAGAGAGCAGACTGGCCTTACTGTTGATTTTTTACAAATATATATATATATACAGTTTGGAAAAGTGTTGGGGCTATGAATAAACTCATTGCTCAGCTGCAGACGCCACCTATTTTCCCAGGAACCTCATTGCAGCCTCCAGCAGTTGGTCCGGCTTTGAAAGTCTTTAAAATGCCCATCCTACGCGATGCTATTCATTCCACAAGATTGTCAAATTTGAACCACCAACTCCTCTTCCTCCTCTTCCCCACCCCCCCAAAAAAAATTAATTAAAGCACATGAGAAAAAAAATCTCCCCATGGGCAAAAGCAGCTAATATGTACAGCCTACACAAGATGGTATGAAATTCCACACAGACCCAGATATTCTCATTTACAATCTATAATCTGTGAAGCACTTGCCTTGACCTAAAGGATGCTACCAGCCTAAAACGCAACGGCAAGATCTAAAACTTGGACAGTTCTTCCCTTTGTATGTTTCCAGCAATTTCACGAGTTATGAATTTACCTCTCCGAATACTTTTTCTCCGCTCAAAAATGTGCATTTGTGCAGGGTTAAACCAGGATGGATGTCTGACCTTGGACCCTCACCATGCAATAGCACAGCATCTACCAGCACCACAGACACGCATTGATCAGACTCAGTAAATATGAATTAAAACCTCAGACCTGCAGGAAACATTCACTTTCTTAATTGAAGGGGAGGAAAAGAGGCAAAAAAAAAAACACCAAAAAACCAAAAAGGTGCAGCCTTGCAAAAGAGCAGAGCTCCTGTCAAGGAAAAGTCAGTGATCTTTTGAAAGTGAACAGAGAGTTAAGACACTTGTTCTGTACAAAAGCGAAATATTAACCAGTGACACCCTGTACTTGGATAAACAAATCACTGCAAGGCAGCTGGATGAGGATTTGCTGAACATTACCTGGGAGGATGCAAGTTTGTTTCATGGGCTCTGCTGCATCAATCTTCTTCATTTTGTAGAGTTTGCTGGGAGCGGTGGTGGGGTGAAAGGAGAGCAAACCACCACCAAAAGGATGCTCCAAAATGTCTATTTCTCTTTCTCCTGAACAGAGCTCTAGAAACCCACTTGCTCACTGGGCATTACACACACAGCAAGAGCTCATGGTCACCTCTGAAATGGACCAATGCAGCATGAATGCTTATTATTCATTTTCAAAAACAAGCAACAAATCCAAGGAGAACCTGATTATTTGAATGTACAAGTCAACCCAAAGATGAACTAAGGAGAACGCCGCCATTGCCTTCTCTGCTGTTCTTTGGCCCTCTTGTCCTGCTGACCCGACTGAATTCACCAGCTCTTGCTCCACGACACGGAGCTCTACCCGCTGTAGCTGAAATGGCCACTAAGAGCACCCAGGGAAAAGCCAGTTGTCAGATGGAAGTCACTGGCCTGCCCAAGCATTGCCCAATCCATAGTGCTGCTCCCCCAGAGATGCCGCAGGGCCTCGGTTCACTCGGGTGGACCAGCGAGAGGGAAATGCTGAGCTTACCTTGAGCCGTTAAAGGCTACAGCTCTTTAGGGCAGCCTGAACTTGCGGCGAGTCCACCACAGAGTGCATTTCATGGCAAACGACAACTCTTGAACCCTCTAGCCGTTCTTCAAGCTTAGATTTTAACCACAGGGAAGAAGTGCTCCTTTGAAAACACAGACCCACCAGCAAAGGTCGCCGGTCTGTATGCCAACTCATCCTGCATTTTCCCCCCTCTCTCCCACACACCTTTTCTTATATTACTCCCATTTTATCATTTAAAAGCACTGAGAGGTTAGTGATGGGACAGATCAAGTCTATGTGCGAAGGTAATGTTTAACCTTAAATTAAAAGCTCACAGATAAAAGGGAGCGTACTATAGATTTCTCAGATAAGTTTCCCAGTCCAGACAGCCTGGGAGAAGTATCAGCGCGAGGGTCTAAGGGCATACAGCACCTTCCTACCTCAGGCTAAGCAATTCTGCTTTTTCCTCCTAGAAGTGAGCTGGATTTCCTTTTCTATTTGTCATTGATAAGCTACAAACCCACCTTTGCTGTCAGAGAATTAACCAGTTCAGAGCAACCAACAGAGGAACCCAGAGCCCTTCCTGCAGCCCGCTCTCCATCGGGAGCCATGGCCAACTTTGTGGCTCCAGAAATCAAAAAATTTGCGCCTTGGGACTATGTTGTTTTTGCAGGACTGTTTTTAGTCTCCGCCAGCATCGGAGTCTTTTTTGCAATTAAAGAGAGGAAAAAGAAGAGTTCCAAGGACTTTTTGGTGGGTGGCAGGCAGATGACGTGCGGCCCCATAGCTTTCTCTCTCACCTCCAGCTTCATGTCGGCGGTCACTGTTCTGGGGACACCATCAGAGGTATATCGCTATGGGGCATCCTTCATCCTCTTCTTCCTCTCATACACGCTTGTCATCGTCTTCACTGCTGAACTTTTTGTCCCGGTATTTTACAGATCCGGCATTACAAGTACTTATGAGGTAAGTAAAAAATGTATTACTATAGTGTAAAAGTTAGTTTATCTAGTATTTTGCTATTTCTAGAGAAAAATCTATGGCAGAAGATTTCCTTTGCAATGATTTACAGAACAAGTGTATCAATGCATATATTATTTTTTAGAAACAAGCTGATTGTTTGTATTCCCTAAGTTGCAAGGACATATAAAGGATTGGAGGTACTGCTGGGCATACATAGCAGAGAAAAGAGAGAATTTACAGAGAAGAACAAAATAAGTTACGACTGGAAAATGATTAAAGTACCTGCTAGAGGTTCCTGGTCTCAAGTAACTGTTTCACTCTCTTTTAGAGTGAAACTATTAAAGAAGGACTTTAAGACAGAAGTCCAACCATCCCATTGCTCTAGGAGACAAGCTCAGGCCTCTTGGCCGAGCCAGATTAAACCTCACCATGAAGCAGTTGTTCCCCAGGGCCCTTACTCCCAATACAACCCCAGTATGCCGAACACATAATTTCAAATCCATTTTGCTGATTTCTCAAATTTAACTGTTTCTGCAAGGAAGACTAATCACATGCCCGGGTTTATTAGTCCCAGCAGCAATGTCAGCTGTCCGTAATTGCGTCGGGGAAGCAGGCAGCCACGCAGGCAAAGAGCAGGTTAAGAGCTGAGCTACAGCCGCTCCTTGTGCAACTTGCTGCATCTCCTCTTTCTCCTAGTATTTGGAGTTACGATTTAACAAAGTGGTCCGTTTTGCTGCAACGCTGATCTACATCCTGCAGACGGTAAGACGACGCTGCCATTTTTTCATGATGATTCCATCTAATATTTATTTCAAAGCACCCATCTCAGGCTCAACTCCCCCCACCCAAGAGTCACTTTATTCTTTTTCCATCCCCTCTCATTTTGCCAGTTGGACTGCAAATGATAAGAAGCCTGACACTCAAGGGGGCATAAAATCACTGCTTGGATTTATAGATTGCACTTAGAGAGAGCCTGGTATCGCCACTGCATGCCACTAGCCGGTCCCCACCCCTGTGCACACAGATAAGATAAATGGCAACACTCCTGGCTCGTGGACGCAAAGCTGAGTGAGCACAGATTAGGTTTGTGTGCCCAAAGGCACTGGCTGAAGCCCTGTGATGACATTAAATAGCTTTTTTTCTTTCAATTTGGAAGTGCCCGAAGTTTCTCAGAAGATTAGTTCGACTGTGTGTTTGATGGAAAGTTGAGGAGCTGAGACGTTTGTTCGTCTCTCCACAGTAATTCTGTTTAATTAGCTTAAAAGCTTTCACGAGAGATCCCGAAGTTCAAGTTTTGTTTTCTCTGCTCAGTTCTGTCACAACACATGCATGAAAGGCCGTGACTTAACAACCCTGAGAGAGATTAGAGTAACCAGGGAGATTAATTCCCAAGACCCAGCGCGAATTGCTTCTGCATCACTGTTGGTATTTTACTGACTATCCCAAGCGACCCAGTCTGGACACACAATCATCTGAGCAGATGCTGGAACAAGAAGCACACAGTCAAGCAGTGGAGGCTTAGCTCCATCCAAAGGGAATTAAATGAAGGGTTTTGAGTTTGTAAAGGCTGGAGAAAGAAATCCCCATACGGTGCAGCCTGATCCATGAACTCTTTTCTCCCACAGATCCTTTACACTGGAATAGTGGTTTATGCGCCATCACTGGCTCTCAACCAAGGTAAGTGTCCAGGGCAAACTACATGGCTACCCCAATAACCCCATCAAAAAACAAGCAGAATAACCAAAGCAGCAGAAAGTCCATAAGCAGGCAGAAGACAGGAGAACCCCCAGAGCTCCCCAGCAGAGCTGTAGGGAGGCTTTTGCCTCCACTGAGCAGTTATGCATTTCTGACCCCCAGGTCCCTCCCTCGCGTTCGCTCTCCTGTACTCAGTAACAGCCCCAAGGGTTGGCAAGGAGCAGTTTCTCAACCTCCTGCCAAAGTTCGCGGCGCAGGCAGTGACCCAGGAGTGAGCCCTGTACTTTGGCTCCTTCCCACTCTGCCTGCCTGCCTTGCGCCACCGGTGCTGTTACCGCTCACGGGACAGGCAGGAGATTCCTCTGGCTGGAAGTATCGGCGACTTCCTGGCCGCCCACAGAAATGCCAGGGAGCAGAAGATGCTCCACGTCACGGAGCAGTTTCCTTTACAGAGTGATACCTATAGGCACCCTATAGGCGCTGGGGAGTTTTGTTCTGGCTGCAACACCCCCTTTCAGGCAAGGTGAAGGACAAGGTCCTGGAGGCAACGGTTTCATTTAAAGATCCCATGGCACTTCCAACCTGACACCTCATTTACGTTCCCCTGGGCACCGCTCCATTGGCGGCACCTGCTGCAATAGCTGGGCTGAACCCACTGACAAGCATACAACACAAGGAATCAACATACGCTCCTGAAGGAACTGATTTCCCTAGAATTGACTGGGAAGTGATTTGGAGGCTCTTTTCAACCCCTATGCACCCCTCCTCTGGAGCCAGGTTGCCTTTTGCATGGCAGCTGCTCAGAGGGCCCTGAGCATTCTTAACAAAAATGAACTGTGGCTAATAGAGAGCCTCTACAGATACTACTGTCCTTACAAGCTAAGCATCAGGGCAGAGACTGCAGTATAAGCAGAACTGAAAGTTGCACATCCTACCTTGCCCAGAGACTCGCCGAGGCAAAATGAGCGTACAAAACTGTTGCAGTGCACAGTCAGCACAGTCCCAAGGTTAAGGTGTTCCTCGTCCCGGACAGCAGAACTCAGCTTCTTCCCCTAGGGCTCAGTGGAAAACTCCTGAGCACCTGGATCCTCCAATAGAATTGGCAGAGCACAAAACCTTTCAGCAGAACCAAATCCTGGACACGAAACAGAGAAAGCATTGCTCATAAGATGACGTGATAAATGTTTTTCTTTGTGTAATTATTTTGCTTATGAACTACTTTTTCTCCCCTGCAAGGTAGCTAAGCCAAATTTGCAATCCAAAACAGCACCTGGTAGCTCAAAACACCCAGCAGAACTCCTCTTAGTCATAAAAAATCACAAGTAATAATTACTTCCATCGTACTCAGGGTAACAGGTGGCTTTTCTCTTACTATCCCTTCACTAACTACTTGGTTTTCTTGGTTTCCACAGTAACTGGATTTGATCTCTGGGGCTCTGTAGCTGCCACAGGACTTGTCTGCACTTTCTATTGCACATTGGTACGTAACAAACACAAGCGAACAGCTGAACGCAGACTGCTCGTCCCTAAAAGGCTACATGAGGAGCCAGGCTGCTAGATGTGGTCTGAAGGACTGAGTTTTGCAATTCCATGGCATAGGGATAAGCTTCCTTCAGATCCTAAAGATAAGTCCATTTGGCAGGGAAATGTTTTGCAAGTTACAGGTGGGAAAACAGAGCAGTGAGTGACATGTCTCTGGTGTTCCTCCAGACCAAGAACAGACCTAACGGGGCTTCCAGGGAGCTCTACTACCATGTCCAAGTGATGCAAGACCTTCCTGATGCATCCGTAAAGAGCTGGGGAGGTCACTGAGTGATGGACAAAAAGACCTCCCTGTAGGTGCCAGGTCCAATAGCATCTAAGTGACTCAGTTGCCTTTCGGTACATTTTGAAAATCAGAACTTCAAGAGTTTGAAAAATGGGTCATAGGCATGCCAAGAGCACTAGTCAGAACACATGAGTGCCTGTTTGGTTTATGACTTTGGATAAATAATAAATACATCAGAGCAGGGGAAGAGGCAAAGGGCAGAACAGGCACATCCTTCACCTCCCCATGGGGAGTTAACCCCGGAGGTGTGCGGGAAAGTCCGTGATCACATTAGAGAACAAACAGACTGACTAGGCTGGTTTTGCTATATTATTGTTTCTAATTTATTTAAATTATTTTGTTTCCTATTTCAATGGGTCCTCCTTAAAAACATATTTATGCTGCTCCAGCACAGGCTTCATCAGATAGGAAACGAGCTAAGGAAGAAAGCTGAATTGCAGACTTTCTGGAGCTGTTTTTTCTGTGTCCTTAGACCTGCTGCGGACCCTGAGCTCTTGAGAACATGTACTGAATGTTGTTGAAATACGCACATAGGCAAAGGTCTATTCTCAAAAATTCTGTCACACACCACAGCTTTTTCTTTGTTTATAATGAAGGAGGGAGAAAAAGGATTTGACTGGAGGTCAAATAATCTTACACGATGGTGCAAATCACTAGTCTCATTTCCTGAGCTGAAAAGTACGACCTTTATGGGAGAATAAAAAGAAACTTTTCCAGGAAAGGCCCATCTAGCTGCATATAAACTCCCAAGAGCAGGTGTTTTTACCTTTTTGGACACTGGAGCAACTTTCCAAAGGAAAGGATGATGAGAACATAAGGAAAGGATGATGAGAACATGCAGTTTCTGCTTGTCTCAGGGAGGATTAAAAGCTGTGGTCTGGACTGATGCCTTTCAAATGATGGTCATGGTGGCCGGCTTCGCGACGGTTCTCATCCGCGGCTCCATCCTCAACGGCGGCCCCAGCAGCATCTGGCAACACGCCTCCGAGGGATCCCGCCTCAACATATTTGAGTGAGAGCAAACAAACGCTGGGGATTTTTTTATTATTTTGGGGAGCACTTAATCTCACCATACCCAAAATACTCAGGCCTGTTATATATTATGAAAGAACAATTCTGATTCAGAAATCTGCTCCTTATACTCTCCCCTAGATCTGAGCAACCTAGTAGACCTTTCAGAACTTTGCTTCCTCTTTCTATCACCCTATTTTAAGAAACCAAAGCGCAACTGAGCTGTAAAGGAAGCTTTGCATATTTTTCTTTCATGACATAGGGCAATTCCTCCTTCCCATAGGACACTCATTTGATTCTGCATCTCTAAGACTGACACTTCGTATTAAATCCCCTCATCCCAGCTGCTAGTGGTGCTCCCATGCACTGGGATAACACACTGCCCTGGCTGGCTGCCACACTGCCAATGAAGCCATTTCTTGTAACAGAAATAATATATAATGGTGACCCAACTAGAAGCAGTTAGGCCATTTTTAGGCCTAACTTTTGATTTGTGTCTTTCTCCCTCGCTGAGATCAAGCTCATGGATATGATAGCTAGCATATGTGACATGAAAGAGAATTGAAATGTGAGCATTATAAGCCTTGTAAGTACAATTTGAATTACTTAGTCCTGTGACTGGAACAATATATATTGATCTTGATCTGGCAACAGCATGACGCAGTATAAAAAGAAGAAAAACCAAAAGATTCCTCCCCATCACCCCGCCTCCCCCAGATGTTTTATCTGTTACCAATGTACTAGTCCTAACTACAATATGATGATATTATAGACCAGCTATTCCTGAAAGATCAAACAGCTCTTGCTGAACAAACATACATTTAAACAAGCAACCCAATTACTTTCCCGTGGCCTGTCCAGCTTCGACGTGGATCCTCTAAGACGACACACCCTTTGGACCATCGCCATCGGGGGGACTTTCACGTGGCTCGGGATCTACGGCGTCAATCAGTCCACCATACAGAGATGCATTTCCTGTAAATCAGAAAGGCAAGCGAAACTGTAAGTCACTTTCAACGTTAAGCTATTCTCATGCTCAAAAATACCGACACAGAATTATCCTAACAGCCTGTTGATTGTATTAAATAAAAATAGGGACCTCACTGGAACTGCTAGAAAGATTTGCAGAGTTTTGTCCTGATTTTTTTTTTTTTTTTTACTGTTCTTACTAGCACAGTTTCTTACGCCGAGGAAACATTTCAGAAGTTATGTACCTGTTCTTGGCAAAGCCTCCCTCAGAAAGGTCAAAGTAAGCAACCACTTTATATACACCTCATACTATAAGGGATTTCTCTCTCTTTTTCCAGAGCGCTTTACCTCAACTTAGTGGGACTTTGGATAGTGCTGGTGTGCGCAGTATTTTCTGGCTTGGTGATGTACTCACACTACAGGGACTGCGACCCTTGGACTGCCGATTTCATTTCAGCACCTGATCAGGTACAGATGGAGATGATGCAGCCGAGTGCTGTTCTGGGCCCAGACAGAGCTCACAGAAACATCACATAAATTTAGTGGGAAACCGTGTATCCTTTCAGCTCTGCAGGTGCTGGATCAGGGCTAGGATATGTCTCTTCTGGGGGTCTACTAATAGTAATGTGACAGAAGAGTTTTGCAAAATGACCTCCTTTCTCTCAAAACCTGAATTTCTCAGTTGCAATGAAAGCAGCATTCTGCAGCCCGATCAGGCGCAGCTGCTCTTCCCCCTCAACCCAGAGAAGCCTCAGCCGACCCCCTGCGTTTCTCTTCCCCCCAGCTAATGCCATATTTCGTCATGGACATTTTTGCCTCAATGCCGGGAGTCCCAGGACTGTTTGTTGCCTGCGCATTCAGTGGAACATTAAGGTCTGTGAACCTGAAACTACGTTATAGGGGGAAAGAACAAAACGATAGCGCTTTGATACTTTCCTTAAGTAATTATTAAGTTCTGCAAGAAAACAGAACAGCTGTTTTGGGCACTATGACGCTCTGAATGAGAAGTGGCATCTCTCTATATGGAAATTACTTTCCAAGATCGTTTTGCTTCACGTTTATATCCTCATTTTGCCCTCTCACAGCACAGTGGCTGCAAGCATTAACGCTCTGGCAACCGTTACCTTTGAAGACTTTGTCAAGAAAGTTTTCCCAGACCTTTCTGAGAAGACGGGCACGTGGGTCAGCAAAGGCTTATGTAGGTACCGTAGCACAGGCAAAACCGCCTGGCTTTCAGGAGACGGTTTGCTCCCCGCCGCGCTCGGCGCTGGGCACCTCGGCCTCACGAACTCTCCCACAGGTGTGCTCTTCGGCGCGCTCTGCACAGCCATGGCGGCGGCTGG